GAATACGTTGAATATAATAGCTTTTCATATACAAAGTAAATAAGTGATACCTAGCAGTTTCTAACTACGTGGAATTACAAATATGCCAATACATTGTTAGATGCTTGTATCAATCAAACAATTTATAAAATAAATAAGTATAATATGGCGAAATAATATTATATAGAGCGAGGTATTTCAGGCAGTTGATTAACACAATACGTATGCTCAAGTTTGAAGTTGTCATATCCTCTTTTGTAAATTAATTTATGTAAATGAAATAAAAATATATTAAACTAGTCCCTAGTTACTAAAGGCTATGACGTGAATGCTACATTAACATATTTAATGTTTCTAAGATAGATATATTATTTAAAACAAAGGTTTTACAACATAACTTGATAATTAAATAAAACTATCATGGCACTCTTCCATGAACTTTTCCATACCAATAACCCCATCAACATATCAGCGGAAATGATGGATAAACCAACATATACACCTACGCATTTATAAAATTAAAAAAAGATTGATTCTCTCACTCAGTTTGTATTGACCCTACTTGCTGTTCCAGCGCTCGTGGGTTTGAGTCCCGCTTGGGGTTCATTTGTTTGATTAGCGTGAATGTTTGTACTACACTCATGGGTGTTCTATTTATAATATGTATGTATTTCAAGTCATATACGTGTAGTGTGTCAACTATCTGGTATCCATAACACAAGCCTCATAGCTTACCATGGAACTAGATGGTGCTGTGTGGTAATGTCCCAACATATTTATTTATTTATATTTTATATCATCAAGGTTTTAGTACACGATGTTTATCATAGAGTCTGCAGAATTTCCAATTTATTTCCACAGACGTGTGATTTACATTGATATTCATATTTCGTTTATGTTTTATTCGTTATCGGCATATTTGCAATTATCATAAAAAGCGAGAGGAAAACACGTGCACGTCACATTATTTAGCGTTAAATATTTGAACGAAAACTTGTTAATGAAACTGGGTTTTTTTCGTATAAATAAAATATGTGAGATTTTCCAATCATAATCAATTAAAAAATAAGTTAATTATGTTTTATTTAAATGGCAATATAGTATATGTATGGAGATTTTGATAAGTGTCATTGGTAAAGTCAAATCGTGCTCAATTGACACGCTTAATAACTATGAATAACAAGCATGTACGAATGTAATAACACATTTTGAGAATATTTGTTTAAATATAAACGTAATTTCTGTAATGCATAGATAGTACACAGAATCTAGCTCTACTATATTCTGCTATTATTTTGCTATACACATAGAAACCATCTATCCATGATTTTTAAACTTTGTCATAAAAATCTAAAACAAAATCCTCATGACCTATCTGAAACGACGGCCAGTATCACTCAGACTAGATAAGTGCGCAGGAGATATTATAGTACAGAAGTATGCGCGCAAACACAAGTCCAATAGGACAACAATCTAATACGACAATAGACTGATCACACGTGAGGTCGACTTACGTGCTCTTTGAAGCACATGGTTATAACTTTATAAGTTGTTGTTGTTTGTAGCTTGCTTCTCAATACAAACTTTCGTCCCCACTTTCACCCCATTTAGAAATGATTTCCGGGATAAAAATGTATTCCCAGGGTCTCAAACTATCTTCTTAACAAATTTCATCTAAATCGGTTTAGTAGATCTAGAGATTACCCCCTACAACGTCACAAACTCACAAACTTTACCGCTTTTTAATATTAGTATAGATAACATCATCAACTTCTCAACTCTGCTCAATCCGGGAATAGAACCTTCCTCATCTACAGCCATCTATTAGACCAAACAAAAAGTCTTACGTAACAAACGATTACTATTGTAGAAAACACTATTTCTTCATGTAAATGATTTAACAAAAAACTTCTTGAAAATAATATATTTATTATTATATTATAAACTTTATTTATGCAAAACCAGGAAAATGACGTCGATTATGCGCAATTCATGTGTCAAGATGTCACTCATAATAGTTATTAACTTAAGTAAATTGTCCCCACACGAGGAAGTGTTTATACTTCGTTACTATACAACGTTTAAAAAACTAATATATTAGCGGCCTGTTTTCGTTTGGGCCTGAACTTTCTACAATACAATCTGTGCGTTTTAAAATATTATATTTTGGCAAACAATATTTCAAAATGGACCGGTATACAAAATAAAATCAAACATTTGTCCAATATTAGTATTTCAGAAATATTAATATTTATAAAGTACTTTAGCAGCAGTTCGAAAAGATAGAAGCCGAATGAAACTTAGAAGGATTGTAGATCTTATATATTTTATATTATTTTGTTTAAAAGTCTTATCTATACATAATTCTGAGTCGAATCTGCAGTAATATTTCTTAAAAGATTTTATTGAAATAGTCATTATTATGGATACAGAGTCCGAATCTGTAGTTTTTAAAATTTTTGTTTGTTTTTCTATCTATCTGTCTTTCTGGGAACGCATCATGAGGAAACCAAGGGACAGATTTTGATAAAATTTAGTATGATGATAGCTAGTTATCCGGGTCAACATATAGGATACTTTTTACTGCGGGAAAATATCTCATCTCTGAGAAAGCTGTACTATCCGTTAAAACGTAACTAGTGACGAACCCGAACGGAGCGAGGGTGAGTCGGTAGTAACATTCAAATATAATTATAAGTAAGCATTAAATACACTCGTTTGACAAATAAAAAAGGAAGTAGATTTAATTGAGGAAGTCGTCATAATGAAAATCCTTCGCAATAATTTTATGCAACTTTTTACGGAGTTATGGCTTTATAATAAATGTGTGTAATAAGTTATATTATAATCCATAAACACATAAACAAGTAACTACAGCGTATGTTGAATATATCTATACTAATAATATAAAGAACATAGATTTTTTTGTTTGTCGGTTTGTTTGTTTGTACCGAATAAGCTCCGAAACTACTGGATCAATTTAAATGAAATTTGGTAAAAAGATAGTTTGACATCCTGAAGGACATAGGATAGTTTTTATCCCTGAAATCATCTCTTAAGATGGTGAAAATGGAGATGACAGTTTGTATGGGGAATCAACTTAGAGACGAAAGCGAGGGTGACTCGCTAGTTTCAAATATATTACATGTAGGTAAAAATATAGATTTTTAAATCTTCTGTGTGTATGATTTACACGAAATTTATTCTACAATAATAAATTATTCACGTGTGTACTTATTCTATTTCATAGTTTATTTATGACTTCAAATTATTATATTTAGAGAATAAAATCAAAATTTTAAATTGGGTTCTCCATCGTATAGAATTGCATATAAAGTTGATGTATCGATAATCTAATCTTTGTAAGTGTTAATATGAGCTTGCGAAACTATAGACAGAAGATATGTAATGGCAGTCTTACACGTGTTTTAATTAAATAAGGCTCAAGGTAAGTGCTATTAAAATAACAATTTAAACGCTTTAACAAATAAAACTGTACGTGTAATAAATAAAGTTAAAAAAAATTAAATGTCAGCAACAATCATGAAGTATACACATACATACGTATATGTATTTAAAAAAAAATTAAACATGCGTAGTTCACAATTTTTTTTACTTTGATTTCTCAATATACTCAATAAGACCTGCCTGAGACTCGAATTCACGACCTTGCTATTTATTTATTTATTTATTAGGTTTATTTACAATCACTTACAATACACAAATATAAAAAAATAGAACTACGAGTAAAAATTAGGAACTAAATGTAGTAATTCCTTACAAATAAACACAGCATGCACAGAAATAAAGTTTCTTAAAATTTTACACAAAATATATTTTAGAAGTAAACAGTGTTTTTTTTTAATTAATCAATGAGTACGGGTACACCGTTACTTTAATTTAACAATTATAAGATTATCAAAGCATTTATTTAGCAACTAGCGTTCTAGAAAAGCACAAACAGATCTATCCCACGGGAACCGTTCATTTTTCCGGGATGAAAAGTAACCTGTTATTTGCCCGGTAATATAAGGTAGTAACATACTCGTAAGTTGTTGTGTACTAAGCTGTATAAGTTATTATAGTTTTGTAACTATCCCGCGGGAACTCTTTAATTTTCCGGGATGAAAAATATCTTAAACGTTGACCTGGGATATAAGATACCACTATACAAAATTTCATTTAAATCGGCCCAATAGATTCGGAGATTAGCCCGTACAAACAGACAAACAGACAGAGAAACAAAAAAATTGAAAAAAAAACATTGTTTTTCTATGTAGACATTCGACCTCTACAGTTTTATTATAGTATAGATTTAGTGCAAATGGTTTTGCGGAACTGGGCTAAGAAATTATCAAATATGTCGACATCTATGCTATAAGAATTTAGAGTTGTACATAACCGTGGGACTGGGGAATTGTCACCTAGGATCGTTCGGGGAAGTGGAGGACAAAGTGGAGTAAGTAGGCTTACGTGGAATTCTTACTGGAACTCTTAGACTAAATTTATTTAGTAATTGGGGGCAGTCAATAAAGCCGTTCAGTAGTTTATGAGTAAACAAAAGATCCAGAAGTTCCCGACGTTCATACAAAGCGGTCATTCCGAAGAAGTAGTCATTCTTTGTAAGAAGCTAGCCACTAAACCAAAGAAAAAATGTGATTTAGTAATTATAAGTTGAATAACTATTCTGTATATATACATTTTTGTGTTTCCGTGTGTGTATGCATATATATGTATGAATGTACAAAGTTATAATAAATCATCGATCAAAAAAGTACACACAAGATACACAATCCCATGCAAAAGTTCTCTTAAAAGTGTCACTAATTTTTTAGGTAATTATATATTCTAGTTCAAATAAATATACAACAATGTAAATAGAATCTTAAATGCAATGCTTAAAGTTGTTTTTACAAAAAAATGATCAAATGAGCGCTCATTCGATGAGGATATTTTTGATCGCTGATTGTGTATCTGGTACTTTTTTGATCGATGTAATAAACATTATTTTAATCACTTACCTTAAATTCTTCACCATTCTATTTTCACTCGGTAAATCTAAGAATTCCAGCAGAAAACGGAGTCTGTCCAGAATTTCTTTGGTCTCCATGCCAAAAATCCAGCCGAAATACATCATGGTTTCCTTTATAGTGAACTCTCCGTATAGAGCTATCTCTTGAGGCATGTATCCTACACGTTTTCCTGGAACGCCTGAACCTGTAGAAAATTATATTTTTTTGTTATCAAAACAAAATTAATAGACAATATCCTTCCATTTTTAAAAATGATAACTATTAATATTAGACAAAAAAAATGTATAGAAGGAGTCCGTCAAAATAAATTTCAAACTCAAAATAGTAGCGTGATTTGCTGTTTATGCTACTATTGTCGATTTCTTTAAAGTATATGGGAAATTTTATACATTGTATTTTTATTTAGTTTCACATGTTCACGTGCAAGTTAAATTTGACCCACTTCCCAGTGTTTGATAGAGCTTAAATTTGGTATACTAGTTTGGTTCCCGATACAATGCACGATTACCTAAATGCCGCCATTTTTAATCTAATATGGTGAACGTGACAAAAAAGGGAGATTTATCATTTCCATAATGATCCTTATGATATGGGCATCAAATGAAAGGGTTTGATGAGAAAAACACAAGAGGCAAAGTGACATCGTTGTAAATGCAATATGCTTCGTTTTATTTTATGCACTACCATGACATGGATATCAAACGAAAGGATTTTCTGAGAAGAATACGAATAACAAAAAAATAAAAAAAAATGAAATAATTGTAAAAAAAACATTTTTAAAACAAGCTTTTATTTAAATGTTCTAAAAAGAAAAAAATCTACTTTAAATTAAATCAAACACATCAATAATAGTTTATAACATCACACAATTTATCTATACTAATATTATAAAGAGGTAAAGTTTGTGAGTTTGTGACGTTGTAGGGGGTAATAAAAGGGGGTAATAATTTAGATGAAATTTGGTAAGAAGATGGTTTGATTTAACCTTGGAAGGGCATACGTTGGACGTAGGACGTAGGACGTTTTATCCCAAAAATCACCCCTTAAAGGAGTGAAAATGGGGATGGAAGTTTGTATTGGGAAGCTAGGGAGGAACCCGAGTGAAGCCAGGGTGAGCCGCTAGTTAACTATAATGCTTTTATGTAGACATACATACATAATTTTTTTGTAAGAAAAATAATTAAATAATCAATGAACATAGAGTATGTTTAAAACATAGTTACTATTGGCATCAATTTGCATATCATTACTAACCAATAGATTTGCCCTTGAGAAGATTTGAGTTTATATTAGAATTTAACATCATTTTACTTTTTACAATTTACACATACATAAATGTATCTTTTTATATATTTATTTAACTAAAATATTAACTTAGGCTTACATATAGGCTATAAATAGTGTGTATGTATAGTAAAATACAGGTACAATAAAAAGCATTCCTGCGTGATGTTTTGCACTATAATATACCGACATTTCGAAATTGGTCGAGTAAAATTCAAGGTTTTCTCTTAATTTTTAACCGACTTCCAAAAAAGCTTATCAATTCGTCGGAATCTTTTTTTTCTTTTTTTATGTATGTTTACCGATTACTCGAAGACGCCTGAACCGATTTGGAAATATTTTTTTTGTTTCAAAGGGTATACTTCCCAGGTGGTCTTATATAAATTTTATCGAAATCGGCCGAGCGGTTTTTAAATAAATCAACAATAAATATATTTTTTTAAATAACTTGTTTAATCGAATGTGTTATTAAAAAACTTTCTTCTTAGAAATTACCTGCTTATTACGTCTACACTAAAAATGGAAAAATAAAAACTTTTTAACCAAAAATAAAAACCGACTTCCAGGCACTAAAATGTAAAAAATAACTAAACGGAGGTTTTCCTTTAGAATAGTTACCTAATCAGATATTTTTGAAGTACGTGTCAGCCGACAATATTTTTAGCTATGAACATCTAATAGGTGAATATATATTTTACGTATCGAAATATATTCGATACACGACTTCGAAAATATCTGATTAAGTATCTAATCTAAATGAAAACCTCCGTTTAGTTATTTTTTACATCTTAGTACCTGGAAGTCGGTTTTTATTTTTTGTTAAAAAGTTTTTATTATTGTCAAATATTAACGAAGACACATGCATTTTCTATTGTCTATGGGTCATTTTAACCAAAAATGTTAAAACAATTGTACACGTCTTCCCCATAACATTTAGTTTGATTATTAATGTATTGAATTCTTTTTTTAGTATTTTTGTTTTTTTTCCAGTATTAACTCTTAAAAATTTATTATACATATATGCTATAAAAAAGCTGTCTAAAATTTCAAAATAACCTCTCAACCTAAAATACATTCTCTAAATATTTTCTTAGATTAAAGGCAAATTACATATTTTAATTAAAACTTACCTTTAGTCCCCGGCTTTCCTCCTAGCACCCATATTTCACCCCGGTTCAGTTTCCGCCGTCCCACTAAACACGACAGAAGCGTTGTCTTGCCACATCCTGACGCACCCAAAAGACCATAACTGTAGGAGAAAGAAATTAGTATATAAATATTATTAAAAATATATGTGAGCTTTTTAATTCATTAAAGCTTTCATAGATTTTCTCTTCTTCGTCCTTATTTTCCTCAATTATATTAAAGTTTTTCTTTTTATTGAAGTTGAAGGAAAGTTTAATGACTGAATAATGGTGACTGAATATTGTTAGAACTGTAAATATCAGCCATCTCTTGCATTCTACATTATAACTTTATGCAAACTTTTACGAAGACGTACAAAAAGTAAAACAAATAGAATAGTAGCAAAAAGAGTGACATAATGAAATATTCTCATGTCAGTTATTCTCATGTATACTATACTCATGTATACTATACTAGCAATTCACCCTCGCTTAGCTTCGGGTACGTTACTAGTGAAAAACAAAACCAAATCTATCCCACGGGAAAAGTACAGTTTTGCGGGATAAAAAGTAACCTATGTGCTATTCCAGACTATAATTTATCTCTATACCAAATGATATCCAGATCCGTTCAGCCGTTCTGGTGTGATTGAGTAACAAACATCCATCCAAACTTTCGTGTTTATAATGGAATTGTTTTTGAGTATCGTAATATTTATAAAGCAAGTTTGAACTCGTAACTACCTTCATGTCGTGTTACAGAAAGATATAAATATCCCAGGGATTTCCCGGTATAATAAGTATCGTATTGTCGCCAAGACTAAACACACATTCTCGCGCTAAAAAATAAAAATACAAGTGAGTATCATAAATATTTTTGTACAAATAGGGCTTTTAACTTTAATTGCGTACTAACTGGCTATTAGGGATACCACAGTCCACAATCAAACGAGATCACCTCGAACTAATAATTATAGAGCAAAAATGAAATTATTACATTTAATTAAACTACTTTTTGATTTATACAAAATCTATACATAATATAACTCATTATTATCGATACAGATGCCGAATCTATAGTTTTTAGAATGTTTGTTTGCCTGTCTGCCTGTCTGTCTGTGTGGGAAAGCATGACAAGAAAACCACTGGATAGATTTTGATGAAATTTGGTATGACGATAGCTGGTTATCCGGGTCAACATAGAGGACAATTTTTACCGCGGCAAAATATTTTATTTTTGTAAAATCTATATGTAATATACATATTTTTGTTTTTTTGATAATCCTTCTACACTATTCATCCCATTGCGATAAAACTTGTATTATTTATCAAATGAACTTTTTGGTTTAAGACATACAAGTAGTATTATCAATATAACAGACATCGAATAATCTATCTTCTATATATGTATATAAAAATCAATTGCCGTTCGTTAGTCCCACTAAAACTTAAAAACGGCTGGACCGTTTTGAATATTTTATTTGAATATTTTATTGATTTTATTGAGGGTGTGTCAGGGGTGGCTTAAGTATAAAAAAAATAGGAAAACCCCATAAGAACTGCTGGTAAATCGAAAAGTTCAGAACTGTTTATTTGTATGGTGATCACTACTTCGGATTACTTTCAATTGATGGCGTTAGTAGCAAACCTATCATCTACAAGAATGCGTCAGGTTGGAAAAAAATATATATTATTAATTATAGACTATCTATTCCATATCAATTGTTAAAACGTACCTAGAGATGAACCCGATCAAAGCGAGGGTGAGTCGCTAGTTTGAGATATATATCTCTGGAAGCAACATAAAATGCAGGTATGTTGGAACATATTATGTATGTATGTATCTTTGTCATTTTACACCTGAACAAAGTCAAGACTAAGTCAACTAATTCGAAGTACTGATAAATTATATAAGAATGACATTTAACATGTACTTAATTATGCATAAATTATGTTTTATATCTCATATAATTGTAGCTCTTAGAATCTGTTGTTAAATATCATTTAATATAATTAAAAACTAATAGTATAAAGGAATGTTCAGTTGTCGTAAGATAACTGACAGGTTCGATTCTTGCATGAAGAAATATTTATATTCGCTATATAAAAAGATATTCCATTTTTTTGTTGAGTTGTTAGGTAAACATAAGTTTGCCAATCCTTATCAATGTTAGAAATATGTACCAATAATACGATTAAATGTGATTTAAACTCACTAATCAATATATATATATATATATATATATATATATATATATATATATATATATATAATATATTCTTATTTCATACGTATTTGCAAATTTTTTTATAGAATCATAGATACATACTTATAAGTTACAATATACTTAAAACTTTCATCGCCACTCGTCTCTTCCTTACTAATAAATATAATGTTCTTCGGACCGATTCCGGCCACGTCGGCCAATCTCATTGAGACTAGCCACCTGCGCAGGAGATATTATAGTGCACAAGTGTACGCGCAGACACAACGTGCACTCTCTATTCCTGTTACTCTCATACTCCGGTGGCATGACTAATAAATATAATAATATCTTAAAAATATAAGCAGGAGAGTCATTGAATATCTTGTCTAAGCCTACCTACCCTTTTTTATTGATTAACAGAAGGAAAAACAGACGAACGGTTAGATTATCGAAATAGATAAATATGTAGCATAACTAAGCAATATGAAAGAAGATTGCTTAGTAAACGCGTCATATAATATTATTATATATATTTTATAAGTATAAGTCATCACCAACGGACTACTTCGTAATAAACGGCCCGCAATTAAAAGTAAATGCCGTGCAAGGCAACAGGAAAACTAGAGAAATTTTGCAAGGCCGTTGGAAACTTCATTTATACTTTAATTTATTAAATAAACTACAATGATGTTGTTTCTACATAGTAATACATAAGTCTTAGAAAAAGTTGTATATTTTTATTATATACATACATACTTAATTGATGTTAATATTAAATCTATGTAGATAATATCATCCTTATACTTTTAAATATCTTTAAATCCCTCGAAAATCGATGGTAAGAACTTATCGCTTATGAATCTATCTGTTCTCGTTACTATTTTACTGTATCTTACGAACTGACAGATCGATTTAATGTCTTTTTTTAAGATTCATAAGATTTGAAACTGACCAACAAACCAAACCAATTGTGTTTACGTAATTATTCTAGTTGAAATAAATATACAACAATGTAAATTGAACCCTAAATGCAATGCTTAAAGTTGTTTTAACAAAAAAAAATTAGAAGCGCGCTCAAATGTTCAAATGAGCGCTCATTCGGTGAGAACATTTTTTGTCGCTGATTGTGTATCTAGTACTTTTTTGATCTATGCTGACTTATGTTTTCTACATTATTTTTAATGTGCAGTCACATTATATATGTCGGAGGAGGATTTAGTACTTTATTATGTGCCCACATTGCGCCTTGAAAACGCTCATAATATTCATAACCACTAAAGATTTATATATGTACTAGCATTGCCCGCGGCTCCGCCCGCGTTCAGATCACCAAAAACCGAATTCTTAGGTTTTACATATTAGTATACTGTTACATTGCAGTTTTTGTATTTTTTCTCAGAAATAAGACATTTTCCCGTGGTAAAAAGTATCCTATATGTTGACCCATATAACCAGCTATCACCATACCAAATTTCATCAAAATCCCTTTAGTGGTTTTTCTGTGATGCGGTAACAGACAGACTGACAGACAGACAGACAGACAGATAGACAGACAGGCAGACAGACAGACAGACAGACAGACAGACAGACAGACAAAAATTCTAAAAACTATAGATTTGGCCTCAGTATCGATAATAATGTTTATTTCAATAAGATTTTCCAAAAAATATTTAATGTACAGATTCGGCTTAGTTACAATTTTATTATATGTATAGATATGTCAAATCATCCATCATCGTAATAGCAATTCATGTAAACTAATGAAATAGAAAATCATCCTAAAATCTATTTATTTTACACATAACAATATGCACGTAGAAGGTAACACGTACTGGCAGTTTCGACACCGGCCTCGTGCAACGAACAAACAGACCGTTGCGATCGGGTTACGCACATATTAGCCTTATTATAAACATTGACCACATCTTTTATTTTATATCTACTAAGAATATGCTTGGGAGTTATATATTTTATAGCACTAACTAGATAAGGCAACAGACGCTGTCCTGTCCTTTCAATTTTCTTTACAATCTTTAATTGGATACAAAAATTGTAAACGCACCGTGATTTTTGTTTATTATATTATCTGTAAGCTTACCACAATACATTAGTAAAAACCGCACCTAAATCGGTTAAGCCGTGCATTTCTGAGAGAACATAGCAAGTCGGCCAAGTCCGCCAACCTACACTTGACCTGTGTGGTTGACTATTACCTGACCTACTGGCATTGTAAGGAGGAACGTACCCAGCTATGGGACCTTAAAAAGGGCTGCACACAGCTCATACATATGTTGGGACATTAACATACAGCGCCATCTAGTTCCATGGTAAGCTACGAAGCCTGTGTTATGGATACCAGATAGTTGATACACCACACATGTATAAATTTTAAAATTCATACATATTATAAATATAAACACCCATGACTGGAGTACAAACATTCGTGCTCATCCCACAAATGAATGGCTCCAGCGGGACTCGAACACGCGACCGCTGGCACAACAAGTAGGGTCACTACCAACTGAGCCAAACGTGGCGTCATAATATATAGTCATGAACGAATTGGTTAATTCGTTCATGTATATAGTGATACATATCTGTCTTACTGATGTTAATGGATGTTTGACGAACATATCATGTACATATGAATCGGCAAGATGTTTTTATCCCATTGTTATTTTTTAATTATTAATATAGTAACTTATCATTTAAGACTTGGACAAGAACCTCGCATCGACACTTACAATTAATATAATTACTGAAACTCTATATTTACAACGTTATACAACGGTAGCGACCCCTGGTATCGGGTAACGGTGACTGGTAAAGGTGATCTAGTAATAATATTTATTTATTTACTTGTATTAGCACGCAGCTTCACTCGATATGTCAATAAAAAGACCGCGTGTTAATAAAATTATACAATCCACAAAAATAACTGCTAAATTATAGGGTATTTTTTTTCTATTTTAAAGTCTGCTTGAAGTTTTTCAAGTTTAAAGATTACTTATAAAAGAAATTGAAAGTTAATTTTGGAAACCGTATAGAGAATCTATTCTAAAAATCAAAAAAATGATGTTGAAATTACAGAAAATTAGAAGAACCAGTCTAAAGAGCGATAAACTTACTTAGGTTTGAAAAAGATCAAGAGTAGCTTCAAGCAGGCTTCAAACCTAGGTTTTACTAAAAGACATCCCCAGCTACAATACCAGATGATTATAATCAATTTCATTGAATTGATAATGGTTATCCATAAACATAAATTAACAAATTTTCCCCAATTCCTACTAAATGCATTAGAAATAACTATGCATTGTAAATACTACAAAGGATGTCCGTATATTTCGACCTTAATTATAAATGCGATTAACAGCGATCGTTAAGAAATAATTAGTCGAAGGAACGTGATTTGCTTCAATACAAGTTGAAATGAAATGAAATTTATTTATTTAATATTATTTCTCGTAAGTATATAGTACGCAACAATGGCTACGATGATACTGCAAAAGTATAAACTGCGTTACACGCAAACGCCCGTCCGTCCGTCCGTAAAATATTTAAACTATTTTATAAAACCTAAAAAAACAATAAGATGATGATGATGTATGTGTGAGTGTATGTGTGTGTGAGTGTGTGTGTGTGTGTGTGTGTGTGTGTTTGTGTTTGTGTTTGTGAATGCAAAATTCTTTAATAAACATTGGTCAAAAGTTACGCTCAAATAGAGAGTCAATGAAGATAAAACAAGTAACTAAAACTATAATATAATTATGTACTTTGAAAATTTGAAATGATTTTTTCCTTCACTTCCGGCGAATTGTTAGTATCTTTTATTTAGAGGCCTTTTAACGATTAGTATGGAATAGATAGTCGATCGTTTGCTTTGTAGAAAACAAAAACAAATCTACCATACAGGAACAGTATATTTTTTGGGATAAAGTAACTTATGTGTTATTCCAGACTATAATCTATCTCTGTGCCAAATTTCATCCAGATCCGTTCAGCCGTTCTGGCGTGATTGAGTAACAAACATCCATCCAAACATTCGCATTTATAATATTAACGGGATACCATTCATCCATCCATCCAAAACGGATTAATTAAAATTTCAAAATCTAAGATAATCCTATATCTTACTAATGCTATAAATGCGAAAAAGTATATTTTGGTTTGTCCTACATATACGAATGAACGTATCAATGCGACCTTTTGCATAGAAAACGTTTACAGTCTAGCGAGTGACAACTGACAAGTCTCTCTTGTCTTTCCCATAGGAAAACTTGCTAAGAAACAATTTCTGAATTGCGCTAAAAAGAAAAAGATAGCGAAAGATTGTCAATACTTTATCTATACATATAATAAAATTGTAACTAAACCGAATCTGTACATTAAATATTTGTTGAAAATCTTATTGAAATGAACATTATTATCGATACGGAGGCCGAAATTATAGTTTTTAAAATTTTTGTCTGTTTGTTACCGCACCACAGAAAAACCACTGGAGGGATTTTGATGAAATTTGGTATGGTGATAGCTGGTTATCCGGGTCAACATGTAGGATATTTTTTACCGCGGGAAAATATCTCATTTCTGAGAAAAAATACGAAAACTGCAATGTAAAAGTATACTAATATGTAAAACCTAAGAACTTGGTTTTTGGTCATTTGAAAGCGGGCGGAGCCGCGGGCAATAGTAGTAATCAAATAAAATTAAATACTAATATATGACGTATATCACTACTTTATCCTCAGCTAGAGAGTCCAACCAATTAGAATGAACAATTAAATCTGTATATAGCGAGCCACGCTTAAGGAACTAACGTCTCTAACATCTAAGTAGTAAGGTCAGGGCGTTAGTCAGAGGTTAGCAATCTTTTGTTGTTCATTGTTGGCGTGATGCCACCCCTACTTGCGTAGGCGCATTGTTTTACGATAATTGATTAATAAGCTATAACTGGGTGTATATATAATGTTAAAAGGCAGTGGTCGCCTAATGGTAAGGTGCTCACATGGGAAACCGAGTGAAGCGGGTTCACATCCCGTGTCTCTAACCTCTAATATTTTCATGTGCTAATCGTTTCGAACATGATTAATACTTGTTTTATGAAAGAAAACATCGCGAGGAAACCTGCATGTCTGAGATAACCTAGTAAGTTTTCGAAAGACATATGAAGTTCGCCAACCCGTAGTGGACTATGTCCTGATCCCTCTCATATTGATGGCAGGCCCAGCAGTGGGACGTTAAAAAAGGGCTCAATACATACGTACATATATATATATTTCGCCGCTGTTGTAATCGCCATATATACTCAAATATCAGTAATCCTCAAAAGTAAGTGCTAATCATGGTAAATGTTCCATTTTACATTATAATAATATTGTCAGTTCCCATGATAGTTTGATGACTTACGATCATGAGGTATTGTACCTTAATTTGATTCTTACGAAAAGTCTATGTAATAACATTAAAATGTGACAGTAATATATAAAAAAATGTATACTTACATGGTTCCCTTGTGCACCGACATGTTGAGATTGCTGAGCACATGGTTGGGCCGTTTGTTCGAGCCGTAGTGCTTGTACGCGTTGCGCACACTCACCGCTTGCTGGCGTTTTTGCCACACCTGAGGAAATACAATCGAACACTATTAATTCACTAAATAATTGTAATTTTGAACATTGTATTATGAAAAATGTTATTTCAAACTTTTATTTTTGCACTTTCTGCCTTTTTCTTTATGCATTTAGTATCCATCGCACGTTTGTAAAAGCAGTTATTAATTTATTGTTACTTTTCCTACAAAGTATCTACGTGACCAAGTTTCGCTTGGCGTTTTTAGATGAGATATAAAAAATACGTTTTTCAAAAAAGACACCTATATAGATAAACTTAAAAAGCAAAATCTTACCTAAAAACAAAATTTGATCCAAACCGTTAAAGCCATTTTCGAGATAGGTACACAAATTTCTTATATATGATTAGGTTACATGTAAGAAAAGATAAAAGTTTTTTTTTCATATTCAATAAATCATTTAAAACAACAATAATTTCGAGAACAGCCATAAAAATGTATAATCCATATACTAACATTATAAATATAAAAGTAACTCTGTATTTTACCTTTTGACGTTTAAAATGTTGAACAGATTTCGATAAAATTTGATTGCATTGCATTCTGGCATCAGATATAGGCTACCCTTGATACCTGTGGCTCGCACCACTTACCACGCAAGCAAAGCCGCGGGTAAAAACTAGTACAGCATAAAAGACCTAACATTCTATGCCAAATTACGTCATATTAAAAAATTGTATTCGTGGATAGCGATTAAAAGCTCTCGAAGACATTTGGAAATATTGTATTTTGGAGGTTTTGTACCTTAAAGATGTCCAAAAGCTTGAGGAGCCACGAGGAGGATGAGGAGAGGAGGATGAGGAAAGAATGATGAAATAAGGAAATGCTTATCAATAATAATTTTGTCATTTTATATTCCAGAGCCAACTCTTAATGATCGAGACGCAACTTTAAGATGTCCGTTTATGCTTTATGTCCCATTGTCCCTTTGGAATGGCTGTTGTATGTTTGTATGAAAACAATGAATGATGACTAACTTCGTATTTCGTATTAAAAATTCGTCATACTTTTTCTATTACTAATAGGGTTTAGTGCAATATTTTTAAAAAAAATTTCAAGCTTTTAATTTGTTTTTTTTTTTTTTATTCTGCTATGGCTATAATATTTTTTTAATAATGTTCCTTACATATATAAGACATTGGCAATATAAGTACTTAAATTCTATTCATTTAATATGTTTTTCTCAAATTTTCAATAATATTATTATCCTCGAATTTCGACAACTGGACGAAAAATATGCAGTAGTAGGTAGGTAGGTTTTCCCACATCTATACTGGCGTATTTTGTTTATATTTAATGGCTCACCTTATATATGATAAGTAGCGATATAGTCTTCCATAGACATGTGAAACATATAAAGAATTATGAAAGAAAATGTATTAATAACAAAAAGCATTTTTACTTAAATAAATAAATATGTTGGGACATTAACACACAGCACCATGTAGTTCCATGGTAATCTACGAGGCTTGCGTTATGGATACCGGATAGTTGATACACTACACATATATAACTTTAAATACATACATATTATAAATATAAACACCCATGACTGGAGTACAAGCATTTGTGATCATTACATAAATGATTGCCCCAAGCGGGACTCGAACTCGCGACCGCTGGCACAGCAAGTAGGTTCATTATAAACTGAGCCAAACGTGTCGTCGAAATAAAAATATATACTTAGTGTAAACTGTAAAGTCAAATATAAATATAAAGTGTAATATCTTAATTAGTGCATCTACTCTGCATGCATCTACTCGTATAATATAGTATTCGCAATTCAATGTTAATGGAGGTCAACGATAAAAGATGTCTGCCTTACTTTAAAAATTATTACAAGAATTGCTATTTTTATATGAGAAGTGCTATTTTTGTTTCAATAAATAAACTCAAATACCCTCGAAAAGCATGAAGGTGCTAATTATCAAAATAATATTTAAATCAATCTTTAGGCACGATTTCGCATGACTTGAGGGTTTTTATGATTTTTGGTCTTCCTATTAAGTTTTCAACATTTCAACGTTTAACTAGGATTATGTAATGAAATGAAATGTAACATGAATTATTCAATTAGACTTTTAAACGCTTTCGAATCGATAAATCTAAAATCAATGTAATCAATTTGCAATTTGAAAAATCGTTTAATTTAAAATATCAAATCTAAGAAAGTATTGGGATGTTTTTTTTTAATAAAATAAATTTATACTTACAGCACTATTTTGTTTGTCGAGAGGTGGTGAAAATTGTATCTGGCTCATTTTAGACTCCTTCTCGTCGCCTAAGGGCGACGGAGGCGAGGTCTCCCTGTAGACAAAAAAAATTACATTAGTCAATTGTAAACAAATACAGATAAAATATAACTAAAATCAGTATAATAAAACAATAATAAGCACTATAATAAAGAAGTATGTAATATAAGAATATAAGAAGTAATATAAGAAGTATAATAATCATTAAAATGATTATTATTTATTACTTATATTAAAATTATGAAAAGAACACACGTGTAACTAAAAACTCTGACTACGGCATAAAAAAAATCAAGTAAAACCTAAGATTCGTTAAATGTCATTAGTAGCACTCTAAATAATTGTAAGAAAATGTCTTAGTTTAGAGTTTTGTTTGGAAATTCTCAGTGAATCTTAAGATTTAGCCCAAAAATACAATAATTGAATAACTTTATGAGACTTGAGAGTATGTACTTATTTCCAGCTTATCTCAGCTTTTCTTTATGCTAACGAAGCTAATGGTATGAGAACTTCAATTGAAATATAAACGGATTGTATATACAAAGTTAATATGTAAATAATTATCGTTGTTTTGCTTTAATTTAAATTAACAAAATATAGTTTAATTTAAGGTATATATATATTATTATTGCAATATTTATTAAAAGAATCGGATTGAAGACCTTGATTTGAAACTGATAGTGCTACGATTCTAATCAGTTTTGCTTTTGCCGCCATTGTTTGACAAGTGTATTTTTAATTCAACAGGCATAGACGTTTAGTATTCAGCCAGTGTAGGGAGTCCGTATTTTGACATATCGCTCACGGTCATAGTGGCGAAACTCGATTACGATAAAAGACGCGACGGAGTGGTCAGACTATTGCTATCTTTTTCTAACGACCTTGTACTACGTATTGCTATTTCGTTTCAATAATCAATGTGACGTACGAATTAGATCGATGTAATAATATCGATTTTATATTATATATGGGTGTCACAGATACGTATGACCTATTAGTTGATCGGTTTTAATACAGCAATGTTTCAAGAAATAAATTTACATAAGATGTCTGGATGTTTTGTAATAGGGATACTTAAGTTTGACTAGATATTCATGTACACGGCAACTTAATAGCTTATCATAAACGTTATGTTATTACCGTTGTAGGACAAAGTAACAATATGTCTGGTGCTTTATTAAATAAAACATTAGATTGGTTAACAGCATAGTATTATCAACGGTTACGACCCGCCCTCCCTTCACTCAGGGCCAATAAAATTTCGCAATAACTACGTTTAAGCTGCAGAAAGATTAAAAATAGTAAGTATGCAGTAATAGTAAGTATGTAGCTAATAAACTATCTCTAGTAAAATCGACTTTTTCCTGCGTCAAAGAAGGAGCTAACTAACGCACATTCATATTAAATAGGACGTACTAATAGTGATTAAATTATTATTTACTATCGAAGTTATACTCCTTTTGGTTCGTTAGGAAAAATTTATGAGAGTAAAATTTTTACGACGCGCGCGCACATCGACAGCCAAAAAGCGACACAATAAAATTAGCTGAAAGCGACATGATGAAGTAAGCTGCATTCCTTTTACAAACAGAGAGTTGTGACATACGGGATGAAATCTTTAGCTATTCTTGTTCTGTTACGCCAAAGTAGTATAACTTCTTACGTGCGTACATAAGTACACACACTTCTTTTTAATATGATAATCAAACATGGCAATGTCACATAGGTAATATTATTTTGTATTAATATATGAGCGATGCTTGTTAATTAATTATTTTTAAGAATTTACACTATATTTTTGTGTATGTTGGCAATATCTTCGCATATTATGAATCAATTATCATATTTTTAACGAATAATTTATACCTAGATGTTGGCATTTTCAAAAAAAAACTCTACTGAACATACAATAAGTTCTTTTTACTTTTAAGTCTTTGAAAGTCGGTCAAACTTTTTTAGTTTGAAGGAAATGTTAGGGCCAAGACATAATAAATATTTAATTATTCTATAACCAACAAACATTAATTTTACCTACATGTTACAACGTTTAACGGAATATCAAATGGAACTTAAAACTTGTTTATCACATCGTTCAGCATATAAATTATAATAAGTGGTATATTCCTTGATCAAAAAGCCGAAGTTTAACGACCTATCCATTCACAATATGACGTCAATGGATTTTTTCTTTTTTAAAACTGTTATTAACAATCGGAGTTAGCTTTTTATGTTGAAATGGCCGATGGGTATATATAATATTGCTTGGAAACGTTTTTAACAATAGCTAGCGACTTTTCCTTGCTTCACTCAGATAAACTTTTTGTTAGATAGTTGCAATTTCAATTTATATTTTTTCCAAATTTCATCTAAATCTGTTCAGTGGTTTACACCTAAAGGTAACAAACAGATGAACAAAGACAGTCTTGTGAGCAGTAAAATTATATTTATAACATGTCATACATATAGTTCAGATTATGTTTATAGCATATTATATACTTGAGGTCGCAAGGACGTCGACGTAAGTTACCTATTTGTGTAACTTATATAGTATGGACAGTTTCTAATTTCCTGCACACCAAGCTAATTGCAGCTTAAAGATTTTCTTAACTAAACAATTTAAATGATTTGTACAGTAATTGTACCAATTATTTTATAAATTGCATAAATAAATATTAATATATAATTGTACAAGTAATTAATATTTGCAATTATATTATTTTTTACACCGTCTCCGCTTGCGAAGGACGTGTTTTAAAAGTAGCCTATGTTACCTCCAGGATATAAGCCAACTCCAATCCGAGGTCACTATATGACGATATCATTTGACGCACGATGATTTGGAAACGTAACAAACACGTGTACTTATATTTTACTTTAATTAAGTAGTAACTAATAATTAAGTATTATGTATTTTATGTTTATTTTATACTATCGGCTCACCCTTGCTTCGCTCGTGTGCGTCCCTTCAGTGGCTTAGGAATGCAAAGAGAACAAACGTACAGAGAAACATTAATTTTTATTTATATACAATATATCTGTACATACATACCTATATAAGGTTTACACGCGTCAGATGACGCACGAGTCGCAGTTTTTACTGAACTTTATGTAGAGATACGGAATTAATCCAAAAAAATATATTGAGAGCTGCTTTATTTTCAGTTAAAGTTATTTTTGCTGTACATTACAATAAAAGACATTTCCATATAGTTCCTACTTATTTATTTTATTTTTTATTACTTATTTATTCTTTATAATACCAAAAAAATACACTGTGAACGTAAGAAATTAATAATTAAATATCATAAATAGTACCTAAATCCATATATTTATTGATATTATAAGAATATATTAAATAAATATTCACTTATAAAGTAAACAAATAATAAATTGAGTCGTAATTTTTTAATGTCTATGTTATGACTGCGCTTTAAAATATTCTTTGTGTGAAAAGTCAATATTCTCTTCAAACATGCAAAGGTCAATCTGACCAATCTTGTGTTTATTCAAACTAAATCTTAAGAACTAATATTATTTTTCGAATCATTTAATTTAAAATATATTATGTACATACATTAAATAAAATTCATTAAGACATTAGATATCACTTTACCCCATGACCAAAATTATAAAACTTTTGCCTTTTAATCCAAGAAGTCTTTCCGGGATAAAAGTAAACAATGTTGCAATCACCTCTATCCGCTAGTAAAGTCGGATTCACACTATACTGCCGATCACGGTTCGCTCTCAATGCGATATCGGTCTGGTAAAGTATTTATTATACGAGAAACAATGAGTGCATTCACACTATCGGTAAGAGACAAGTTCCGGTCGAATCACACTTCAGCAACGATTCTTGTTAATTTTTTTTATATAAAAAGCAGTCATGAGGACTGCCGACAGAAGTGAAAACTTAAAACTATAAACAACAGTTGATATTTTTGGATATTCAAATTAATTGTTTGATCCAAACCTGCCTAGAAGTTTTCACTTCAAAAACTTTACCAGACCGATATCGCCTATAGATCCGGGAACGGACTGTAATCGGCATTAAAGTGTGGATCGGCACTAAATGTCAAAAAAACTTTTTAACAAAAGCTAAGTAATTAAAACCTACCTATGAAATACATACCTAATCAAATATTTTCGAAATCGGTGCCAGCCCATATAAAGCAAAGCAAACCGACTTTTTAGTGCTTTTGTTTGAAGTCGGTTTTTATTTTTTGTTAAAAAGTTTTTATTTTTCCCTTTTTAGTGTAGACAGTAGTAGCAAAGTGAGAATTCTAACGTGTCAGGCTCGTCAAATCAAACAAAATAAGTCCAAACTCAAAGTATCTACTATTAGCCGTTGAAGAGTTCCACCTATCCACCTTCTGGCCTTACCATCAGATCAGGTCAACAATACCGAACCACTGTACTATCAACGGAAATAGAAACACTTGCAAAGTTTTATGTCAATATGACAATTAGAAGTAGGTTAAATTCATCATTAGCTATTTTTCCACCCTTAGGGGCGGTATTTTTTTTTGAAATTTCAATGGGACAAATCTGGAAGTATACACTTTCAAACAACATAAAAATTGTCCAAATCGGTTAATAAATGACGGAGTCGTGAGGTAACAAACATAAAAAAAAATACAGTCGTATTGAGAACCTCCTCCTTTTTGAAGTCGGTTGAAAACAGCTCAATTACAACGGTTGATGTTCGTCAAAAAGTATTCGTTTTATGACAGTAAATGACTTTTTTTTTTAATTGAATGCCTTTGAAACCGTGCACATAATGCGTAATGAAATCAATATGGGGTTATTATTTAAAAATAACACAGGCAACTTTAATTGCAAATTAATATTTTTATTGAAATATGTGTCTCTTAGGTAGAATCACTCGCTGAAATATGAATAAATTTATTCACACGTCAAAAAGCTAAAAACATGGAGATTTGGCAAAAAATGTCGGAAAATCTAATACCTTAAACTTGTTTACTAGAGACAATGGTACGACTTTGACCCGCACATCTGACGTCATCGGTAGTAGGTTTTCCGGTATATTATACT